TTTTTTTTTTTTTTTTTTCGGAAGGCCATCCTATGATCGATCCTTTCTTCTGAATTGCGTTATGGGGAAGTTTCTCTACACTAAGTCGTTCTTCTCGGCCCCCTGCACCCTCCAGAGATAGAGCTGAATTTCACCCCACGCACGACATCCAGCAAACAGCAGATCCTGATTATAACGTTATCTTCCCAGAACGTTCCCTTGCGAGATACTTAATATTTAAATTTTCCTTTTTTGGAAAACCACACGTGGCGAATAAGGAAGATTATAAAGGAGAAATGGGACCCATTCAATCTGGCGAAAAAGGTTACCGCCTCTGGAAAAAAATGCGATGTTTTGCCGAAGCCATAAATTGCCGACAGAGGAAGGGAGTGGGGCACCGTTTGCCACCGCAAAAGAAGTCCCTCTGGTAATAAACTATTGGCGCACCCATATGTTATGGAGAATGTTAAGGACGAAGAGGAGCTTAATGAATATATTCTCTGTTGACCTTAAGAAACTTGCAACGCGGTAAGGGCGTGAAACAGCCACAATTCCCTTCCAGGGAAGCAATGGATAGGATAAATCTGTTTTCCAAAGAATTGGAAGAAAAAGAAATATTTTTTCTACCTTATGGGTCACTCTGGGTCGCTGGTACAAAATTTCCGTACTTAACACGTGGTTAATTTCGCTTACAAAAAAGCAGAGGTTTTGATCCTGCATTGGCAGCTGCTGTTGGATACTGCGAAACCGGTTTCTCATCTGGTTTATCGTTTTCTTTTTTTCTTTTTTGTAAATTCCTGACAAAGATTCTTACCATGACAAGCATTTGGCGCCTTTGCTGCGGTAGACAGAGCTCATTTAGACCCTCGAGACCAATGAAGCCAAAAGCATTTTGCCAGATTACAAGGTGCCAGAGAACTCTATCAAGAGAGGTGCAAATTTGGCACGCAACCCGGTAGGCAGAGGAGTCCGTTTTGCTTTTGCCACGTTGGCCATGCCATTTTTGCCATAAGTATGCGTCTTGAAAACCTCCTTGAGGAAATTCGTTTGTTCCAGGCGTTGACTTCCACCACAAGTTCTGGAACCCATGAATGATTACTAGGCCGGCTCTTGGGCAAGACCAAGTTCCCTTCTGGAGCATCCAATGGCTTTAATAAAATCATCTTGTTGTCCCGATACCGCCCGCCAGTTCAGCTAAATTTGGACCATTATTTGCGTTGAAACCATTGGAAAGTTAGCGTGTGAGAATTTTACACCATTCCAGAGGCCGAGAAACATCTCCTTGGAGTAGAGGTCTTGATTGTGTCGGCCGCTTTTCTTGAAGTCTCTGCTGCAGTCGTCCCATGCTCGATCATAGAGTAAAAACTTTTCCTTTAAACGTTTAAAACGGGTTGCTCAGTCCCAAAAATAAAAATAAGAATGATTCCAAATGAAGCCGATCCACCTTTGAAGGTATCATTTTATCATTTTTTTTAACTATTTGATAATCCTAGAAAGTGTTGACTCACTTTGGGATTGTTCTATTTATTTGGCCTAGCAGAGTTTGCCTATACGAGTGCGGCGTCTTTTTTTCCTTCCCGACACAGCAATGCAGATAGCACCGTGTTGGGCGTTACAGATTTAGCAAAAATTTGTAAGGTTTATGCTGAAATTATACATTTTGTGACATCAGCTACTGCCACGTTTCGGAGGCGGCGGTGTTACAGTGGAGAGCCCCGTAGCCCTATTTCTCTCTAGAAGTCTGGATTTGAAACGTGCACTTCCCAAGAAAACACAAAGAAATGTGAGATGAGAGAAGATGATACTCCAACGCAAGAAGAGTTGCAAAGCGATAATGGGCTACTGGATTTCAAGGGTTTGCCAAGTATAACTTTTTTTTTTCCTTCTTGCTAAACGGTTTCTGTTCTTCATCTCTTAAATTTCGTGGGGTTAAGTAAAAAGTATGTTCTTGTTTTTCGTTCCGTACCTTTATCGTTTGTTTTAGAGAGTGATTAAAATAAAAGTGAAAACATCTGTTTTTTTTTTTCTCTGTCGCTTTTGTTTTAGAAGTGCATCTGACGACACATTTCATTTTTCTATAAGAGGGTGCAGCGGGCCTTCCCCACTTTGAATAGGGGGGAAAAAAAAAACCACCCATTTACAAGCGAAACTTTTCCCTTTGAGGGCCGGTGCCAAAATTGTTTTATTCTCTAGAATGCTTAAAAACGAGTTAGGCTCCGCCGAAACCCTTGGGGACTTAGCAGACAGGTTTATTGCGGGCGTGCCTCTTCACAGATGGTGCGCTTTGCTTTTTCCAGATTCGTGGGGGAGTAAAAGATGACCGGAATTTGTTGAAAATTCCAGAGCGTCTACAATCGTGCAAGTAGAAGATCGGGATGTTCATATTATCTTATTGAAATTCAACGGCTGCATTCCCAAACGTATTGGCCAACGAAATAAACAACCTCCTATCGCAAGGCGCCGCTTAAAAAATAACTTTTAATTCCTTCTTTCTGGCCATAGTGAGTTGCCGCGGGTATTCCCCTTAGTATTGCTAACGCGTCCGGAGCGATTACATGACAACTCTGCGAATGGATTGTCACATGAGTAAAAGTTTTTACTTTTTCTGAATTGGGGAAAGAGTTTGGCTTGCGAGTATGTGCGGGGAGGGGCCCATCAGCGCCATTGGCATTTGGATGCCAGTTATAATGAACAGAACCATATCCTCCTCTCCCATGTTTTGAATGGTATCCACAAAGCTTATTTATGTCATTATTTTTTTTCCATTTTCTCCTATTATATCCCATTTTTTCCTTCTTTCTCTCCTTTTGGGGTTTATCCAACGGTGGGGCCGCAGAAAACCATCAGCGAATGCGCCCCTTCAGAACAACTTCCCCCAACGCTTGTTCTTATTTATTAAGACCGCCAGAGTTAATTTTTAAACATTTTTCTTTCTTCACCGGTCTTCTCGGAGGTGGCGTGCATTGTGACGCCCCAGATTCCTTTCTCCAGATTAAAAAAAAAAGACTCTTGGGTGCCGTCGCGCTTCTCTTGGCGAAACTTTGGACGTTTCCTAAATGCGAGCAAGCATCCTCAAACCGGAGAGAGCTTCGCCAAAAACAGAAAGCCGGCGCAGGCCCAAGGAGGATGGAATAAACCATTTTTTTTTTCTTTTCCTTTTTCCGGAGTTTCTTTGATACGGATGCTCCGGCATCCTTCTTTGGAAAGGCCAAAACGTTTTTCATAAGAATGGGTTGCTGCCTCTGGGGTTCGGCCTAGAAATTTCGGGGCGCTACCACTTTCCACCGCCACTCTGGAAGTATACGAAAAGAATGCCTCTGTAAAAAAAAAAATTGACTCTTTAAGATCCTATCTCCTGCAAAGTTTTAGTTTTCTTACATAAAGAAGTTTTCCAGAAGAAGTTCGGTTTGGCCTCTGGCGAAAATGCGCGGAAACCAAAAACAATAGCCCGGGGAACGGGATGGGCTACAGAAAAAACCCAAGATGTTCCCCACCATGTTTTAATGCAACATTTGCTCCAGCACCACTGGGGAAGTGGGAATCCCCAAGATGCCGGCAGAGCCGCCCACCCTGGGGCAGCAATAAAAAATCTACCAGTTTTAACTGTTGGCCTCTTTGGAACTATGTGCCTTGAGACGTTTTGTCGCGCCGGGGCCGAAGAAGAGCCGGCCAACAAAAGAAGAAGGCCCACATAAAACGGGAACCCCTTTCCATTTCGCTTTTCTTTGGCTGGGCTGCCATCGTCACCCACGACGTTTGTACGCCAAAAAAAAAAAAAAAACGCCTTTCTCTGCTTAGAGCCTTTGGGGAACCACTTGCCGCAAACCACGCCCCAAACGAAAGCAACGCAACCCAAGAACGCCCAGAAGCACCCGAGGCAAACTCGTGGGAATCACAAATTTCTGAAGATCTTTAAAGCTTTGGTGTGTTCTCGGGTGTTTCCGGTGGTTTTTTCGGTCTTCCCCGTGCCTGTGGCGCCGCGGTGGTACTTTTGCCTCGGGCTTTTTCTTTTTCACGACAACCATTTTTGCATGACCAAACGTAATTATAGCATCAAAGAAATCGATCCACAAGCGGGGATTTTTTTGGTTGCGGAGCTGTGGTTATCATGACCCCAACGCTTCCTCTTTCCAGCGGACTTTAACCGGTTTATTATCTCTTTTCGTTTTCGGCATTCCTTGCGTCAATCGTGTTTCTCTTTTTTTTATTTAGCATCTGCGATCCATAAAGCAAACTACCCATGGCGAAATATACAAGAAGCGTCACCAAAGAAGACGTGCAGGTGAAGAAAACGTGCAGTTCTTCAGCTTTCAAAAAAAAAAAAGAGTTGACACCACACAGCATCAAAGAAACGTAAAGGGTCTTACAACGACGCGGGGTGAGGAATTGACTGCCGCAAAATGTTTGGCTTTGAGACTTTCTGTATAACCTGGCATCATTCCCTTTCCCTTTCAAACTCTGGACGACCTCAAGAAAAACTCTTGTTTTTATGGAATCGCTTTCAATATTCTTGCTATTGTAGCGCAATTATCGTTAATTAATACCAAATGGTCCCATTTTTTAGTTACTATTTATCTTTTTCTACGGCAACATGTCCCACAAGAGAGGTGTAACGAGGAACCCGTTATGTTGGAGAAAACGCTTAATGAGGCGGCGGGGAATTCCATTCCAATTAAGGTTCGCCACCCAGAAGGAACGTTGCAAGCTTTATTGGGTTTTAATACGGAGGTCTTGGGCTCAGCACATTCAAAGAATCAGGAGATCGAAAGGCACCCGCGCATTATCCCAATTCCCGGCCCACCCTATGGGAATAACCCTCCTGGAATGCATTTCTTGGAGAAATTGCCCATCCTTTTCCGAAGACCCGGCCGACGCCAAAGCGCAACAGGCTGCTTCTTTTTTGGGGAATCTGCGAAAAAGCTTTTCGTACCTTTGGGCGCTTTGCTTTCCAATTTTCCCTCTTGTAAAGCGCCCTTGCTTTTCAAAATTTCACAGGGGCCCGTTTCTTGCCTCTGATAATTGCTTGGGGCGAAGCTGTTCGCTTCAAATTTCCCCGAACCCACGGCCAGCCGGCAGCCAGAGAGAAAGGGGTAGGAAGAAAAGATGGAAGGATTAAATTCCAGAGGGAATGGGCGCAAAGAGGAAGAGGCCGGGAACAAAAATAAAGGATGGAAGCCGCCATAGTATGTTCCGCGCGGGCCGCGGTGTTTTTTTTTTTTTTTTCCCGCCACGCAAACCCACCACAAACCACCAAAGCGCACCAAACCCAACAACAACCACCAGAACGGATCAAAAAGAAAAGCCGTATCGTTCTCTCATTCCTTTGCTTTGCACCCCCACCCCACCCCACCTCCCGCAAGGAATAGGGGCACTTAAGGCTTGAGAAAAAAAAAATGGAAACGGTGGCGGGCAACCCTTCGGCAAACGACCGCCATTAAAGCAATGCTTTCCTTATGCCCTAAGCCAAATCGCTCCCCACCCACCCTGGCCGAAAACCGAATCTAAAACATATTGGGTCCAAAAAAAAAAACACCTACCTAAACAAATTAGCGTCAGTCAGGCATGGGGCCGCAATCTTCGGTAATAAAGGTTAACTTGCGAGGCTCCGTTGGGGTCGAATGTGCCATAACTAAAGCGAAGAAGATTTCCGCGAACACTGCGCGCATGCTTGTGAATATTTTCTCTTTGATCGAGATGAAATCTGTCATTTCGCAAGAAACAAGCTACCTGCCAACATCATTCCCTAACGAGATGTCTAAATAAAAAAAAATTCACAAAAGCTCACCTACGCGCAAAAAGAGCATGTGGAAACCAAAACTCCGATAGGCTACCGCTGATAGGCTCTTTGATCTCGCAAAACCCTCAGTATGTTACTCTTTCATCATATATGTATAAAAACACTTCTATCAAAGTAGAAATTCCATAATCAGTAGTTTGGCGTGTAAAAAAAAATATCACAAGAAAAATTCCTAATTAACACACCGGACCTTTGACAAGACCAGCATCAACGGCGACGTTTTTAATGGATTAAAGGATCAGTTTATTCCCATTATCGATGTCAATGTTGAAATTAAAGGAAACAATCGAGTATGAATTGCGCCGTGTGATCTTACAAGTATAGTTTTGAATCCTGTGACATGCCATTAGATCCAGAATAACATAATTTCCAGCGATCCTTACGACACCAACCCCAACCAAAGTGACAGAGAAGAGACCCACATATGAAATTCCCTTTTAACTATTATCACCCGCCCGCTGTTTCTTGCGCCTAAAAATTCCTTTCTGTCATTGTGGGAGACTGTGGAAATGGAGTTATACAACCATATTGGACGAGTTCAATGCCCCCTCCCGCTTCCATTGTGGGTTCTTTATAGACCCCTCAGGCGTAAAAATGTGATAAATGCAGGCTTTGTGTTCTTTTTTTTAACCCATAAAAGAATACAAAACGCTATGGCGATTCCCAAACGCATTCATGCGACATTCTCTTTTCTCACCCACAAATAAAAAGACAAACGCACTCAAAAACGGCCAAACCACTCCAAGAAAAGGCAACGAAGCCATTTCCTTCCCAGAATGGAGAACAACATTAGGAAAAGGGTGTTTTCAAACTTCTGAGGGAGGAAAACATGCAAAGTTTTTTCGCCGTTGGGTTTCGTTGGGCCGCCGAAAGTCCAGAGCAATCAAACGGTAAAAAACACCACGTGGGAAATCCTCCAAAGAAGAAATGAAATTATACCTGCAACAACTGCTTGCCCAGAAATTTCGTTTGTGAGTATCTTGGCAGTATTCTCTGCTTTTAGTTCGCCTCCTCCTCTTGGCAAAGTGGTTTTGGCAGATGGGCAATACGCTTCAAACGCTCGTCCCTTCCAAGAACCTTCTTGGTTTCTCTTTTTTTTCTTTATGGGCTTCTGGTCCGTCAATTAGTTTCATAAGATCTGAAATTGAAATCAACATAAAAATAAACTAATTTGACCCTTGTCTCTCAGCGACCGGTTTTTGAACAGCCAATGAGCTTGGTAAGGATGTGCTACCTTATCGTGGTGCCAAGGTTAAGTAGTTGAATTTATTCAAGGAAACTAAACGCACCCACTAAATTTTTGAAGGAGGTGGCCTCCTTAAAAAACCAAATTCTTTTTATATTTCTTTTTAATACATGCGTTCTTAGGAATGGCATTCCCTTTGGTGGCGTTTGGCCATCGAAAGGTGGAGCAAAAGTCCATTATCCCTTATTCTTCTGATGGAAGTCATGGGAAAGCAAATTCTCTTCTTGAGAGTTTACGGGTTCATAAGCTACAAACGTCATACAGCACCGGGGCCAGGCAAGTCGTGCTGGGACAAAACTTTATCCAAGAAGATCCTTGTGCGAGTATCAGTGTACCATCAGCAGGAGTTTCTTTTACATATTTCACTTTAGTGTGAATGCTGCTAAAAAAGGAGTGGCACGGACCCTAGAGATAATAACAATTATGCCCTCCAGTGGTGGAAATTGGATTGGCCGCTGAGGGGACTCAGAGAGGCGAAAAAAATCCATGTTTTGCCACCTAAGAGATCTACTTTAGCCTCATTACCAAAGCGTAATTCCACTGCGCAACGGTAATAAAATACAATAAAAAAAGAAAAATAAATTAATAAATAAAAATTATATACATATATCGTTAAATATATGTATTGCTGTTGATGGCTCGCAGCATTCGAGTAACATCCATAAGGACACAAAGAAGAAAAAAAAGCCAATGGGCAATTCCATTTATGGTTTTCCTTGCTAAAAAAAACAATAAAAAAAAAATGGTGGTCGTGAATCGGCACATCCGTTTTAAACACTAGATGATAAAAAACAAAGAAAATTATCAGTCAGAGAGCAGGCCGCCCGCAGCGGCGTAAAACGATGCATTGAGAGATTCTAAAAGAGATATGGGTGCCCACAAAATGGGATTGACCAACCGCCGTTAACCCCAGAACATTCTGTACTTCCTGCGTTTCTATCGGCCCCTTGGCTCATGCCACATTGTGCTGGGGAAACTCCGCGCCACATCACTAATTCAAAAAAAAAAAAACGAAAAAAACGGTGGGTAAATGAAATGCACAATCCTCGAATGATGCGAGCAAAAAAGAAACACCACTTGATTTGAAGAAAACCAGGTGTTCGCGTGGGTCGGCTGATGCCTCTTTGCACGTTTCCTCCTTGGTGTAAAGTGGGGGCGTCTGGAAAGGTTGGAAGAAAAAAATACAAAGGCATCGTGGTTGGTCAGGCACCCCGCCATTCATACGCCAGGGTAAGAATGGATTCCGCCAAGGGCAGCCGGGCCAGAAGCGATTTCACACCGATCACCCCCTGTTTCGGGCAAAGGGCCAAGAAAAAAAAAAAGACAGTAGGTTTTGTCGGCATTCGGGGGTAGTGGGATGCGGAATTGCTTTTTTTTTCTTGATTTCTTCTGTGTTCCTTGGTTTATTAGCATCGCCAACGCCGTAGCAGCACTTTAAAATGGGGGCGGACGTCAATCAAAGAGCGACGCTATGTTTTTATTTACTTCCCAGCTTGGGATGTGTAATTTTTGAAAAAGAAAAAGATGATGCCATTATTCCATCCAAAGCCCCACTAGTACAAAAGTTCAATGCCATTTTGTTCTCTCTACCCCAGCATTTCCAAATCTTTGCTTAGTTTGCATGCTCCTAAGTGATCATGCTTTTTTTTTATTTTAAGAGATAAAAAAACACCTGGCACATTTGCCGTTGTAAGCCACCGGGGGTGATCCACCCCGGCCCCTTAAATCGAGCCACGTGCCCGAGTTGTAGCAAACGATCAACTTTAAGAGGTTAAAAAAGGGTGTAAAAAGAAAGAGTAAAAAGATTTTTGCGCCATGACTTTGGCAATCTAAAGGTTGGGAATGGGATCGATGCGGTCCCTCTATTTTATTTTTCACGCTGTGTCCCGGCACTCCGGCCCACCCTACTAAAATTCATCTGGCGGTAAAGTGCAGCATTCGTATAGAGTTCATGGGTCAAGAAATTTGACTTGGTTTTCTAGGTGCTATTTCCTTTGGAAAAATTCTTGGTTGCCGGCGGAAACCCGACTGTCAAAACCCACTCAGAGCAGAAGGCTGAAACCCACCACAATGGTTGAACGGAATGAAAATACCAAAAGAAAACGTTTGCGAGGACGCCGGCAGCGTAAAATCAGTACCCGGATAAGGGACTGGCTAGTTGCTTTCACCGTTTCTTGCGAAAAGGCCTCTAGAAAATGGAAAGAAAAAAAAACATTTTTTTTTAATGTTTTCCTTTGGTTTTTCCAGACTGCTCGGTGGTCCGGGATGGGGTATAAATTCTCTTTCTTGGCGACTGTTTTAAGTGACGTCCTTATCCTGCAACTTTCTTCGAGGGCTGATTTCTAGGGCGACTTGCTACCTGGGTGGGTGCTTCTTGCTGGGTTGAAGTGTTACCTTTTTCTTTTCAAACATTCACCGCAATTACATTCCTCCTTTTTTTTCCTATCGCACTACTTTACCCACCCGCTTCAATCAGATTAAGAAACATCCCTTTCGTCGCCATTCCCCAGAATGGGCCGCAGAACCCACTCAAAGAGGAAAAAAAAATATTTTTTTTCACAGAGGAACAGCAAAAAAAAAATATTTGGCGGAGTTAGGGTTTTTATTTTCAATACCCAGGCTATAGTGACTGCCCAGAAGTGCTAATTTTATGGTGTTTTTTCTTTCGTACCATTGGTCGGAGCCAAATGTCAGGAGCAGTCTTTCCTTTGGTGTGCCATTCGCCAATGGCCCACTACATCCGTCGGTATCAGGGGTGCGATGTGTGTTACGGAGGCGGCCGTTACCTTACCTTCAGCTGCATTATCCGCATCAAGTTTATATTTAGCCATGATATAGACGGGAATATTCATTCTTTTTTGCAGTTTTCAAAATGAAACAAAGAGAGAGTAATACAGGTAAATCTCCCTGGTACCTTTTGAGAAATTTGATAAAGAAGAGATTGTTTTTTAGTTGTAGAGTGAAAGCGATCTCTCTCCCACTCAGGATTTTGGTTTTCCTCTTTCTGAGTTCTAACAGAAAGAGATTTCTAGCCCAAACCACATGGGCAGCGTTTTCCATTCCCATACGATAAAAGTTTGGAATAAAGACAGAACGGATGCCTATGAACGGAATTGGGCTTGCGAACGAAAAAAAATTCACTAGGAGTCTGCGCTGAAAGTTGCAAATTCATCAGTTCACCTTCCCTCCCCCCAAACCCAAATGCAACGCTTACATACATTTAAAAGGGCTGCTCTGCAAAGGCGGACCTCGGTTATTAGGCGCAGGCGTCAACCCAGAACCACTGACATAGTTGTGCTGCGGAATGTCGATAACGACCACCAAGTTACAAACATTAGAGAGCGGATATAATTCGCAGGAAGAGTAGGCACCACAACGCCAGACATAGAACTCCCTAAAGAATTTGTTGTGATCAATTGGTTAGCATGTCCCTCCCCAACGGTGCAATCAACACATTATTTTTTTTGGATGTGACTTTTGGCAATTTTGATTTGGTAACTACTTAAATTTCATAGTTCTCCCGGATCCCATTTCCATAGTAGAAGGCTAACCGGCCTAATTTCCAAGAAAAAAAAAAACAAAACCACTTTGCAGAGACTTTGGGGTATTAGAAGCTAGAAAGAAATATAGAGAGACACATCGCATCTGACATCGGAATGGCTGAACGGTTGCCGGTGCCATTGGGTAAACGTGAAGAGTATTCTTTCTGAACCCGTTCCTTGGGTGCAAAATGCATCCCTCACCTCTCGATTAACCCTGGGTGATAGGGAATAAAAAGTTGGCAAAATTACTCTTGAAATACACAAGTTCAGCTGCACGAAAGGTTTTCTTGTTTAAGGCGCCTCCACAACCATCAGATGCCACATTTCCGCATCATAACACCCAAGACAAGATGCCAATATGCAAGGTGAGAAAGGATGCTGTGCACACGAATTTGCTAAAATAATATATAACCCAGATTGCTCATCCATAAAATCGTACAACAAGATAATGAAACCATTCCCAAGAACCCAATATCAAGAAACGCCAGAAAACCATTAAAAAAAAAAAAAAAAAAACGAATTTAAATTCAAAAAATTTCGCTTATCTGCATTGATTAGTTAGTTTTCCCAAATTAAATTCCAACAACGGCAATCGTGGTCCAACGGCTAAGATTTCCGCCTTCCAAGCGGAAGACCCGGGTTCGACTCCCGGCGATTGCAGGCTTTTCTTTCGATGCACTTTTTGTACATTGAAATACTTTGCTGAAATCAATTATCCCCTATTATTTCGAGGGGATCCATGTTCCAGCAAATTCTCTTTCTATAGAGTTTACGGTTTCAATAAGCTACAAACATCATACAGCACCTGGGCCAGCAGAGTCGTACTGGGACAAAATTTTATCCAAGAAGATCCTGGGGTGCGCATCAGTTGTACCATCAGCAGCAGTTTCTTTTATATATTGCACTTTAGTGTGAATGCTGCTAAAAAGGAGCGGCAGGGACCCTAGATATAGTAACAATTATGTCCTCCAGTGGTGGAAATTAGATTTGGCCGCTGGGGTGATTCAGAGAGGTGAAAAAAATCCATCTTGTGCCACCTACGAGATCCATTATTATTTCATTACCAATGCGTACTCCCCATGCCCAACGGTAGTAAAAAAATAATATAAAAACAAACTGTATTTATGTATATTTATGTATTATTCTTGATGGCCCCGTTCCATTGGAGTAACATCCATAAAGCCACGAAGAACAGAAAGAAAAACGTGGTGGTGTGGTGGGGTCCTTTTTGGGTGTGGGGTAGAAGGGGATATGTTTGATCGTACCCTCTTAATGTACATCGGAGAGTAAAGTATGGGTGTGTTTGGGTGTTTTTTTTTTTTTGCTGATAATGTTGTGGGAGAAGAAGAGGCGAATGGGCATTCTGAGGGAAAAAATTAAATAATAGTAATAATGATAAATAAAGAGGTAATATGTGTGTGAGAGAGTAATTGTGTGTTGCCTCTGTTTGTAAAGATTGACATGGTATTACAGTGATGTATGCAGTCATTTTTGTTATGGTTGTGAGTGAGTGGGTTTTAGATTCCAATTGTGGTGTTGTTATAAATATTATGGTGATGCATTGGTTTTCTTTTTCCCTTTGGAAGTGTGTTGATGATTGTACAATCTCTTTGTTTTGCTGTTTATATTTTTGTGGTATTGTTTTTGTATGTTGCCAGGCGTACACTGTGTTTTTGGTGTTTTTGGTGTTCAAACTGCCTGGTAATGGTTTTATTATAATGAGAATACAGACACATTTTGTGTGTATGAATACCGAGTAAGATATTGGAGTGTGTGTAGAGACGTTTATTCAATATTGTTTTGATACCATTTGTTTTACACTTCTTCTAAATTCAAGGTGTTGTTTCAATATCTGTGTAACTCTGGGTGTGTTTTATTGTGTGAGTGGTTTATTTGTTGTTCCCCTCATTGGGTTGTTGTTTGATTGCTGCTTTGTGATGTGTATCCTCTCTTTCTTTGTGTGTTGTTGTGTACCCACTGCCGTGTGTGTTAAATGTGCGTCTACTTTTCTCCTTTTCCTTTTTTTCCTTGTTACCAGAGATCCAAACAACCCACATTGACAATCATGACAACGATGTTCGTCCAACTGCGCCATATGGTGTACCTATTGGTACTTCTCCAGTGCTGTGCATGTGCTACCCATGTACTTGCAGCGACTCCAGGTTTTTTGGACGCTGAGAAGGCGGTTCAGATGTCGGTAAAACACACAAATCAATTCATTTCTCAAGTGGAGGGTTGTCTTCAATTGTGGAAGACCAAGTTGCCGGATTGTTTGGAGAAGTGCGAGAAAGCCAAGTTGGTTTTGCCGAAACTCAAAAACGTTGTCGCCGGGATCGAGAAGGATCCCGATGTAAAGATAAATAAAAAAGTCAAAGGAGAGTTGCGTGAGCCGCTTCTTGGGATGGTGAAGCAAGCCAAAGATTTGATACCGGTGGCCGGCGATGCCGCCCGCGGCTGTAGTGTACCGGCCGAAATGGCCACAGTGAGGGGAAGAATGTGCGCGATACACTGGGGCAATCTGGCGCCCCACGTGGAGGGGTTTCCGGCCAGTCTGAAATACTACGAGCTCGAGAAGTCGGGAGCCGATGATCCGAATAGAGCCGGGGAATATCTTATGTCCAGTTACGAGTTATACTACAGGGCGTCCAACGTCACACAAGAATACTCCAACAAGACAGGTGAGATTCGTCGATGCATGGCGTTCGGCCACGGGGATTGGAAGGATGTGAAAAAACAGGTGGAAGAGTTGTTTCGATTGATCGAGGACCACGGTGGGAGCGCAGTCAAAGTGGTGGAGGAGGCCAAGTGGGGAGAATTGAATAGAACCAGGGAAGGTGAAAAAGAGGAACAGAAGAAAGTGGACGAGAAGGAAACAAAAGAAGGTCCGGGAGGAGTGGTAGTTGTGAAGATTGAGGACAAAGGTGTGGTCGAAGAGGTTGGTTTTAAGCGGTATGGGGGGAAAGCGGACCAGGATGTCGGTGCAATTCGACCCAGGGAGCTACCAGGGGATGTTGGAGATTTCAATGCGGATTTGGAGAATGCAATGGAGGAAGTGGCTTTGGCGAGAAAACTGGCCGAAGAAAAGGCTAGGAAAGAAAGAGAGGAACAGGAAAGGGAGAGAGAGCGAGAGAGAAAAGCAGAAGAGGAGAGAAAAGAAAGAGAAAGGGTGAGAAAAGAGAAAGAGGAGAAGGCTAGGCAGATCGAAAGAGAGAAACAAGCAGCAGAAAAGACCAGAGAGGCTGAAGAAAAAAGGAAACAACAGGAGAGAGAGGCGGCAGAGAAGGCGAGACAGGCTGATGAAGAAAGGAAAGAACAGGAGAGACAGGCAGCGGAAAAGTCAAAAGAGGCAGCAAAAAAGAAGGACGGCAGCAGCAGTCCTGTATTGGTGCACAGTTCCCTGATTCTTCTTGTGCTCTCTGTATTGGGTTGCACTCTCGTTTGATGATCGGTGTTTCCATGACACAGTTGCATCGTTAACCTTTGCTTGAGTGAACATGGATGCATTGTAAGAGCACTGTTTTTTTTGGTTAAATATCAGCACTTCTTTTTTTCAGTTTGATAGGTCTCTTGTTTGCATTTTTATACTGAACACATCTATTGGACTCCATATGGTACTCATCACATGACAAACCATCATTTTGTGAGGGGAGTGTCCTCTTTCTTTGTTCGCATTATTATCTGGGCACTGCTTTGCCGCCATTCACTGTGTCCTCATGGTGATGTGTGTGTGTGTTCCGTGATATTAATAACTATTGCTTTCACCCATGGGAATGGGATACAATCCCGATGTGTTTTAATTGCCGTGACTGAAATGTGAAGAATGGCAGGAGGTTCAAAACACACAAACACGCACACTACCAACCTTCCTTCTCTCCTTGTGTGTGTGTGTGTGGACTGTCATCATGTGTGCATCATTCCCACTACTCGCCATGTACGAAAGGTACACACGCACCTACACTGCAGGGAATTGTGTTGGTTGCCTCCTAAACATAATCACTTGGTGGACACAGCTTTCTTTTTTTTTTTTGTTTTCATTTTATTGTCTTTTCCCTTGTGTGTGTGTGTTTCATTATAATTTCATTGCACGTTATGTGCATCTGTGTGTTTCACTTTTGCGTTTCCCATACACCTTGTGTGTTCAGTTTTATGGAATGATTCTTTTCTTTCATTATATACAAACTGCTGCAGGGACATCAAGAATAAAGATATGGGCACAGCACGTTCAATACACAATGATTATCCGTTGTTAACCTTGGGGTGGATTGGACTGTGTCCAGGCATCGCAGCCACAGCAAGTGATGAATTTCTTTTGTTTTTACATCTTTGCTCTATTATTGTGTCTGCCTCGTGCAGTCACTCTTTTTTTACATTTTTATTTTGGTATAAAGATTGGATGGGCTGGAGGTGTTTGGGTGTGCCCCGCTGTTGTGTGTTCCTTTGTGTGTTTGGGTTGCTACTCACACCGCCCACGTAATGAAAACACATTTCTTTGTTCTCACCTTCTCTCGGTGGTGTCACTCACGGCATTGCCACGAAGATATTTCTGAGTTTGTGTTGCGTGTTGTTTGTTGTGTGGCTTGCTTGAGTGACTGCAGCCTGCGGGGAGATGGACTGAGACTGTTCCGCTTCGGCTTCACGTAATGGGTCTGTTTTTTTATTTTGGGGGGTTGAGTTGATGTGCTGGTGTGGGTGAATGTTTTTCTCTGATGGGAGTGACAGCTGTGATTATTGTATTGTGAGTGCCTTGTGTGCTGTTGGTATCCTGTTGTTGTTGTTCTTTTCTTGTGTTTTACTGTTCCTCTCTGTAGGTGTGTGACTGCGTGTACATTTTAGGGAATTGCTGTAGTGCCTCTCTGACATGAGCATGTGAGACTGTCATTGTGTGTGTGTGCACTGTGAGTGGGAAGGACACCGTTGTGTTGCTGGACCACTCCACTGCGGCGTCTGTGGGGTGCATTGAATGACGGCGTGGTGATATCCATCAACGTGTGTGTGAGTGACTGGAGTGGGTGTATGGCTCCTTTATGCTGGTCCATTGCCCTGGGGTGTGATTGGGTTCGCACATAAATGGATTAATGAGATTCCCTCTGTCCCGAGTTACTATCTAGCGAAACGGCAGTCAAGGGAACGGACTTGAAGGGCTAAGCGGGGAAGGAAGACCCTGTTGAGTTTGACTCCGGTCTGGCTCTGTGCGGCGGCATCTGAGGTGTAGTATGAGTGGAAGCGCAAGCACAAATGAAATACCACCACTCGGAAAGTTGCTTCACTTATCGAATGAAGAGACCAATGGGTTTCGCGTGGTCTGTGGGCTGTGCACCGTCTAGGTTTGGGATTTTATGGCGGCAACCCCGTCTCCACGGGAGGTGGCGCGTGTTCGCAAGGGCATGT